AAAATTGATTTTTTTGTGATTTTTTTTAAGTTGCTCCAAAATCGGGCCAAAGTCCCTGTACTATAGCACAGGGGTTTTGGCAAAATTTCGCCAAAAATGAAAAGGAGAAAATTCTCTATTTTTATAATTTTTCCAGATACATGTACATGTTCTTATGTTGTGTAGAAAGTTTGAGCTGATTCCAATCAAAATTGAATTTTTTATGAATTTTTAGCCAATGTTCGTCATACTACTTTACATACTTTTACATTAAGCTGATTCACATTCAAATTAAATATCAGTATTTATGAGTTTTTAAAGTGTTAAATTAGCTTTATAGTTGCCCAACAATTTGTTTTTAATAAGTTAAATTGAAGTATTGAACCTAATCCACCAAATCTAATTTATTTTATGTACATGTACATGTTTATACGTCATAGTGTAACCATAACAATATGCCAGTATGTAATGTAGTTCTTCACGTAGCAATATTATTATTTTATTTTATCTCTTATAGAGTTTCATCCTAAGCTGTTAGGACTAACAGGAACAAATGAAGAGGTACATACAGCAGCTAAAGCTTATCGAGTCTATTACAGTCCAGCACCTGTTGATGATGATAATGATTATTTAGTAAGGAATGAGAGATAGAGAGGGAGGGGAGTAGGAGAGGGTGAGGATTAAACTAGTAGTGTACAAAGTTAATTTAATGGCTTTTTGGTGACCTTTTATTGCAAATACATGTACATGTAATTACACATGTAGATGTAAGAAGAAAATATGTTTTCGTAAATTATCATAAATTATTATTTTAACAAAGTTTTATTTTTATTAATTGTACACACAATTTATTATGACAATGAATAACCACCACCCACACACCAGGCCTGCCTATGATGTGAGATAGGAAACTATGGAGTAGTCTATTATTAAAACTGCTGATCAATGCTACATACAATGTATTAACAAAATTGTGGGGTAGTATCTTGAGAAAGTTAATTAAGTGTTCACTAAATCATTATAATTCACATACCAAAACATCTCATTAATAATAATTATTCTCTCCTGCTACAGGTTGACCACACTATTATATTGTACGGTCAAAACAAGACAGCAGATCAAGTACACGCTGGCATTAGCAATCAAATGATCAAGTATAAACACAGGAAGTGATAAGAAGACACTAAAACAATACATGCACACAATCATCAATTGACTTTCATATGATACCATTTAATGGGGCGAAGCCCACTCTGGTGAAAAATTTCTGTATGTATGTGCGTTTAGGGGCATGACTGAGAG